CCATCCATCCATCCATCCATCCATCCATCCATCCATCCATCCATCCATCCATCCATCCATCCATCCATCCATCCATCCATCCATCCATCCATCCATCCATCCATCCATCCATCCATCCATCCATCCAAGGCCAAGACAAGGAGTAAAAAGTCTTTAGAGATGTATATAGTTGCATTATTTTATTATTTTATTTGTAACTACTACTAAAAATAAATCGTCTTGAGCTTATACAGCACAGCTACAATAATGGGCCATAAAAGGGCAAAGCAAGAAATGAACTATTTTTATTGTAACATCCATATAATAGTTCCGAGTTGAATGCGTCAAGAAACCGTTAATATGACACTACGTGATTTATGTTCCGTTAGTTACACGACTGGTTAAAATACATCACTAGAAGTAACGCGGATGAATGAATTCTTGGGTTTTTCTTTCATAGTAACACTAGCTGTCGCCCGCGACTCCGTCCGCGCGGGATTAAAAAAGGATGTTGGCCGATTCTCAGACCAACTCAATATGCTCACAAAATTTCATGAGAATTGGTCAAGCCGTTTCGGAGGAGTATGGGAACGAAAATTGTGACACGAGAATTTTATATATAACATTTTATAACCGCCTATAAGTAATGTAAACGAAATTAAGAGATGATCGAATCAAATATAACATTTTTAATACATGGCAACACCATTTTAATATAAGTCATGATTATTTTTTACAGGCGGCTAATCGATTAATTATAAATTTAGAACTAGGACATCGCTTATGACCTCTTTCTTGTTGATCGCATGACTACGTCGCTTGCAATACGTAATAATATTTAGCATGTAAATATGAAAATGATGTGACAACCCTAAAAAAGCTCTTTCGTATTTGCTTATTAAAGAACTCTATTGTATGCAAAATTTCTACAAAAATAAATATTATATTACAAGACACTATTGTAATAAAAATGTTATAATTTTAACTAATAACCTTTGATCATAATATCTTGACATGTATTTCAATGATGACCTTTATGATAAAAAGGTGCCAATATAAATACGTATATTTATGTTTTAAATTGCAGGTTTTGTTTATTTAAACACATACAAGTTCTAAAGTTGCATTTTAAGTGTATTCCACTTGTTTCAAGAGAAAGTATACATTTATTTAATATTTAAAGCATGTAAACAACTAAAAGTCACGACTTGTAAATAATAGCGACCAAAAATAAAGACATCGTTGCAAAATTATGGATAATTATATATGTAAGCAAAAAGTTGTGTTTGCTTGAACTATTAAAACTCCAAGGGCTTTAACTGGTCTCGTTTTGTGCAAGAACTACAATGGCCTAAAAAAGTGAAAGTGTCGAAATTGTGTTGGTCGTGTTATAGTGCGCTACTTCTATCAAAACAAGCCTTCACGTAAACATCGTGCACGCGTCGAAGATAATGTTTGTTTGTTCATCTACCGACAGCGGTCAATGGGTTATATGTGGGGTAAAATGTTCCTAGAAAGACGATGGTAACGTGAACCCGTGATATTTATCTATCTTTGGAAATAGAAGTCGTGCTGGCAACTTACTTTAGAGATGAACGTTTTCTGTTTAAGTACCTCTGTGGAAGTTTTTAGCCACTATTATCCGATGTAGTTATTTAATGCTCAAATTTTAACAAATAATAATCAAAGATTTAAAAATAAATTACACTTTTAAGGTAACTTAACATAATTATAAGTTGATTAACTAACGTGAAGTTAAATACAACTTATATGTTACTTAAATAAATTCAGACGATGCCTGGTTTTACGTTTTAATAACAGAACACAACATGTTGTAAACATTACGATGTATACTCACAAATAAGACGAAAACAAGTTTAAAATAAACCAATAGTGCAGTTCGTGACCCGAACTTGAAGTCGCTGTCATCGTCATATCTTAGTGTGACAAAAGCACTTAGTAGAAGAGCATGGGACAATTCGAACCCCACATATTTGCCGCCCCCATCTGTTTCCTTCATGCCATTCACGTATCGTGAGAATACAATGAGATATATTAGCTTATTGTGGATAAGAATTTTGAACGGAAATATGCGATTATATCTGATTAATGGTGATACAAATTTAAAAGTGTTCATATGATTTACATATAAACTTATGTAATATGTGCAAGTGAGTTTTAAATAAAATTTATGTGCTTGGGTGAAAACTGAGTTCAAACTACACAAATAAATTTATTCAAAGCAGCATTTATTATATTAAAAACTAGTAATATAGTTACGAGAAGTAGGTGACCTAGTTTCCGTGCCTGTAAGATCTGTTCGGAAATAATCATTTAAACTTTTACCTAACTGCATAATATGTATGACTTTATTGCAGATAGGAAGCTCATTTAATTTAGAAAGGTTTTGTGAATGTAAGTTCGTCAACTGTCTTTGTCGTCACCTTGTTAACGTCTTCAAGTTTTTACGTTTAAAACACGAAAAATGTTCTTTGTTCCTTGTTTGTGTTAACTTTTATTATGATCCCGGATAAAATAATTAGATTCCACATTATCCTAGCGTGTAGTTAAAAGGCGCCGTCTACGCGGAAGAGGCCGACGTCGGCCGAAAGTTTATGTTGTTTTATTTTCTGTCTCGCTCGCGCATTAAAAACATCGCCCGAAGCTCGCCGGCGCGCTTTCGAGCACGGCTTCTCGGCACGAATGCGTGTGCTTTTTGTATTAATATCGACAATGTAACAGTTTGTTTGTGTACACAGAAGTAAATTGTTTGAACGTAATTTATAGAATCTTTGGCCTCGTTATTTTGTGCGGCTAGTGAACTGTACCGGTGCGGTGGATGTTTAGAAATTTGTTCCGCAAGTTCGAATCTTTGAAGGAATCATGTGAGTGATTTAAATCTTCCTCTTTCTTGAAATTAAGACGAAAAGTCACGCTCCTGTACCAAATAATTGTTTTTGTAGGTACTTTAGAAAATACCCCATTATTTTCTACGTATTTTAATTTATTTATAGGCTTAGGTTTACAGCCTTTCAAAAATATATTTGAAAATAATATAATTTCCAAATTATGTTTGACTATTTTATTATATAACATAAACCTTAAAGTAATAATAATAATTGCACTTAGTATAATTTTGTATTTAAGGAAGTGCTAAAATGGACTTCACTAATCTTCCGGTCATCGTTTTGGACGAGGAAGTTAAAAGAGCAGAACACGTGCGACATTTCTATATTTAAATGATTTACTGAGGACGTAACTATTGAAAGGGTAACAGTTTTACGTCATATTATATCATATTATGGGATCAGGAATTAGTTCAATCGGCACCGATGCTATGAGTCAATACTTAATTTATCTTGACTTTCCTTGATTTGTGTAGTTATAATATTTCAAATACTATTTCAAAAGTTCTTTTTCGTACTTCATAAATTTCTCCTCTGAGATAATAGGAGAAACAATAAGTTTATTGAATGAATATCATCCTCATTTTTTATCTATAATAATTCACAGATTAGTTTTTTTTCTGGTGACAAGCGTTCGAACATAGTCCTCTCACACTCAGCTTTGCCAGTCTAAAAAGGCTTTCTTTTTGCTCATTTTGTAATTAGTAAAAAAAGCATTGCTCGGAATTACTTAGCGTTTGTTTTAGAGAAATAAGTAAAGCTTATTATTATCTCAGTTATGTCAAAGCTAATGTGAGGTACGATGACATTTTTAATACAGAAATTTAGGACTCGGAAACCAAGGATCAGTGGTGATTATTAATTCAAGTTCATCTTCATTCAATCTATACATCCATTCCTTTCTACAAACTTCTCAAGAGCTTTATACATTTAGCAAATGCGGCTGTGAATCAAAATGGAACAAACACTTGAGCATAACAACGGTGAATCGACTAATTGCCACACTCAAAGTAATTTCGAGCTTACTCAGAGAGACCCTTAGTATAGTCTTAGTATAAAACTACTACACTTAGGTACTACCTAACTGTTGAACCGTTTAGTTTCATTGTATTAAAATTTGATATTTAAAATTCCTTTCTTACAAATGTCGTATGGTAGACCGAAACAACGCCATTTATCAAAGTAAACCATAAAACTAAGATTAGACAGGCGTGAAGCTTAAACAAAGAAGACAATTAATATTCCATGAGAACGAAACCTCGATCTTTTTTTATTTTCTAATTAAGTTGCCTTGAAGCGAGAAAAAGAGGTCGCCACCGTCGCCGTTAATGAAGCTCTGTCGTTATACACCAATTGATCCCATTTTATAATCGTATCTAGTTACGTGTTGAATATAATGTTTTGATAGAAACAAATAACAACTTGTTTTTATGAGTTTCCACTGTAGTGACACGAGTATAATTATATATTGTAGTCTCTATTGAGAAGGGAAGAAAACATTTATTATGTATCTGTACTAGCTATGGACCGCGACTCTTTCCGCGCGGGATAAAAAATATAATAAGCAGCCTATGTGTTATTCAGACTTCTACCGCTGAAACATTATTTCTAACAAACATCCATTTATCCAACTGAACTTTCGCATTTGTAATATTAGTAAGATTCAAGTGTCGCATTAAATAATGGTTGTAATTGATCAACACCGGCCGGCAACGCATCTGCAGTTCCTCTGGTGTTGCAGTTGTCCATGGGTGCCGTTGATCACCTCGGTGTTCCCGCCGCCCGTTTGCCCCTTTCTCTTATATAAAAAACACAATGATATCGGGCAAAATGAGAAACAGTCATATACTTCTACATTTACAGTTGAAGACATTTATTTCCTACCCTATCATTTGACGAATGCTATTAGCTCTAAAAGTTGTCATAGTATCATAAAACATGCATTAAATTATAGCACCTATATATATTACACATGTTTAATTTGTATGTTATTTCTGTAATTGGGATTGTTCTATTAAAAATTTATAAAAATTGCCTTCTATTAAACTAATAGACGCTTTCCAGGTTACTGGGTCAAAGTAAAAGGGCGGAACTTAGTTCTTTTTTCTTTTGTATTTAGTCAGCTATTCGATTGTTTTTATTTTAATTAAGAGCGATGCTCATTTCATTTCGTGTCTCCATTCACATGGTATTCTTGGCCGATCTTTAAAGATTTTTATACTATTTTTAGATGTCAAAAATAAGAAAGTTTTTTTTTTAAGTTTAGAGGACGTAGAGCAGACAAAATTAATGCTTTAAATCGTGACATTTGTACAAGTGGTACGGCAGTTGAAATTCATGGAAATACAAGCGATTTTGAACGATGACATTAACTTAACAAAATATAATTAAGTTTAATTGAACTTAATGTAAAGTTACTGTTACATACATGTTAAGTTAATAATCAGATACAGTTAACATTGATTATTAACATATAATATATCATTTCTTGCTTTCATTCAACTGCCTTCACTTATGTTACTAAGTAGTTATCGTGTTGGGAAATGCAGTAGTCAAGTGATAAGTACATTTAAGTATTTCTTACTGGTAAAGGAATCCACGTTGCATGAGAAAAAACTAAATCATAAAAGTATAGATTAAAGAGATATGTAGTTTTTAAAATCATCCCATAGATGGCGTTTACGTAAACTTGAATCACGATATGAAGATTTTGTTAAAGTAAAAAATGAATCTGAAACTATTTTATTACGTGATGAAATTAAAATATTCAATTTGAATTTTAAAGCATATTAAATCAGCATGTATAAGATCTTTTTTTCTCAGACACAAGTACTTTATTGTAAGATGGTATAGGAGTATCAAAGGGGATATCAAAGAGGGGGCTTTGATGTCCAGGTGTTGGCTGCTTACACAATGAGAGCACTTCTTAGCAAGTCCGAGTACCTACGAGTACACGCGGCTCGTAAGTAAACGCATTAGTATAATGGGGTCACGTCGGAATCATTACTCGGAAAGTCAATTGTTTGTACGATCGACGTTACTGTCGCAGGCTAAGGCAGTATGTTGACTGTTGCAGCGCAGTGGCAGGCATTTTATGCGTTCTTGAAATAGCTGCCATTATGCTGGAGTATAATGGACGGTGTACACTTACTGTTTACATATTTGGAGGCAGACTATTTGTGTCAAATGTAGCCTTTTTACAAGAGTACTTTCGAATTAAGAAATAAGGCATTCGGTTTTCTATTCAAGTGTCTCTATAATTATTATATAAAGTAAAAATTTCTATGGAACAATGTTTTTCCTTCAGCAGAATTACTATAAAATTGGCAACACTTCCAGTAAAAATAATTTAGCATGTATTTCGGACTAAATAAAAATATATTTGCCAGTCTTTAAACTCATAACAATCAACACAGATAATAATCGACCGTCGCTTATCTTCTCAAACTTTTAGCGGACGTGAAATTAAGGTACCGTATAATCTTTACAAGGCATTCGCCCCACCGCTGATGGCAAAACGGTGATTGTGTAAGACGTGGCGCTAAACTGCTTTTTTGTTGAACAAGAAGGAGACCGCAGTTGTATAGAGGCGAGGTAGCGCAGGCCAGTGTTTGTGGCGCTGCAAGCGGCGCTCATCTCACTTGAATAGGCCGGGCCGTTTGCGGAACAATGCAGGCTTGACGTGCGCACGCCGCGCCGACGGGAAAGCGCGGGAGGGAAAACGCGCGAAGCCGGCAGTCTCGGGCCGCGAGCGCGAGCGGCCGCGCGCCGGACCGACCTACTGCCGCCCTGGCGACCGACGAGCGCCGCGCGCGCGGCGTCACCTTTTCTGAGCCCGCAGTCAACGGCAATACTACCCCCCTCGCTGAAATTCAGTGTCAAAAGGTTGGTGACACCAAACGAGTGCGATCGAAATTCAACCCTGATCCCAGTGTTGTAAAGTCCAGTTTCGGTACTTGTTCCCATTTTACTACGAACATCCCCAAATATCGTAGTATTCTAGTTGTACGATTTCATCCCGATTGCTTTGGCACCAAATGTTATTGTATGAGTGTAATTTCCTTCTATTTTTAAGGTGCTTTTTTAAGAATGCGTTACCGTATCAAGCAGATATCCGTTAGGAATATACTCTAAAATGTAGAGCTGTAAAATTTACATAAGTTACACAACAAAAGACTTCCTCCATATGTCGATTGAATATACGGAAACCACGAGTCATCAATAAATACAAGCGTAAGGAGAAATTGTGACCCAAATATCGCTTCTTACAACTGAAATTAGATTGTGGGATTGCGTTCACATGAAACCGTCTAACTAAATCAAGCCAAGGGATATGTCATGCCCCAGAATACAGCAGTTACAGTTCGAGGCGACTAGGTGACATCACCGTTTCTGAAATAAAAGAAATACTGCGGATTATTGGGTTGAACACAATAATAATAAATGTTATATGAAAATAGATTGAAGGAAACTAGCGACCTAGTATTATTTCATCCACATGCAAACTGTTGCATTTCGATCGATCAAAAAAAGCACCAGCGCTTTTTAGAAGACAATAAGGTTTATTTTCCAAACGCAAAACAACCATCTGTTGAATATTATAATCTTTGATGGAGAATTCTTTCGTCATTAATTATAATACTTTTAATTGTTTTTATATATTATTTATAAGGTGACAAATCTGTGGAAGATTAAAAAATTTGTTCAGTTTAAGCTGAAAATGAGGTTCGGCATAAAATGGAGGTTCAGTCAAAAGGTTTTCGCAATTTAAAAAGGTTCGTTACGAGTGTCCCTACCGCTTACCTCGCCGCAACACCTACTGGTGCGTTATAATCGTTTGATGTTTTATTTTTAAAAATATCTACATTTATAACTTCACCATTAAATTATGTTGGGTTTGCAACACCTTGTATATTTTTTGCATCTTTATCGACAAACATGCTAATGTTTAAATCAAATAATTTGTAAGTACATAGAGT